CCGTATTGCTCCAATTGATGTTGTTGTTCCTCCTGGAAACACTGGATTGGATCCATCTCAGACTTCCTTCTTTCATGTTTATGTTGTACAAATTGTGGGATCACATAAAACAAATAAATCCATATTTCATATTTGCAATTATAGACTACAACCTCATGCTAGAGATTATAAGTAGAAGAACAGAAATGCATAAAATAAAATTGCAGAAGATAGTAAACTGAAACCTGTACTAGACAGTGTCCTTAAAACAGATTCGCCACCTCACCGGTTAGGTGCTAGAGGTTTTTCGACGTCTGTCTCCTAAGATATGACGATTGGACCATCTATGCAATGCACCGACTGAATAGTTTCGGCGAACAGAACTTTGCAGCACTCTCTCTCAGGAAGAATATAATATAAACTAAAGGAAGCTTTTGACAGGAAGAGCAACAAAATTTTTTGGTGTTGAAGAATGAAGGAGAGGATCTCCTTTTATACACATGGAGGGAGAGAGGAAAAGGCTCTTGCAACAAATGCAAGAAATTTAATTTTGCAAAACTCCCAATTGATGGCAATTCAATCCATCATTATTATAAAGGAGTTACACCCATTTTATACACATGTGTAATGTGTATAATTCTGCAGCCACCTTTTCTAACACCTCTTCCATGAGGCCAATTTAATGAGTCAATTTCTCATTTAAATATTAATGGTTTTTGGTCATTCTTTTTGTGGTGTAAAGATTTCATTACAAAGAATCTAAACCCACTTTACTCCATCTCAATTGAGATTGGCACCCACTTTAATATTGCATTAAAGTTACCAAAAAATCATTCTTTTTCAACAGTTTACATCTTTCAAGCTCCTAGCACCACTATGCGATTCACTTTGCGAGATTTTAAATGTGCACTTTGAAGGCTTGGGAGCTCTTTGCGAGATTTTGAATGGCATTTCAATCATGCCCTTGAGAAGAAGATGTGATGGATGAGTTGTTTTGTTTTGTAGGTATATATAATTATAATTTACAATCTATTCATTGAATAGTTAAATGCTATAAACAATGCTTATGGCACTAGCCTTATAAATTGGAAATGATACTTTTGAAGTCTCTATCAATTTATGATATACAATCAAATATTACATATTAATGAATCAGAGCATGATATTTGTTTGTCATTGAAATATCTTTTGATTAAGCCTTTTTGAATGCAACGAGCATGGTGCTTGTTTTTTTTTTTTTTTTTGGTGTTGTTGAATTTTAATTTGGAGTTGAACGGATAGTCTGGTGATATGTTTGATATTTTATGTTTGGTTGTTGAGAAATCAAGTAAGGAATATGAGTTTCTGTTCAAACTAATATTTTTAGAGTAATTTTTACAAAATCAAAAAGAAAAAAGACAATATATTATCAAACTTTTAGAGACCAGTTTTAGTTGTTTGAAAAAAATTATAACTTTTGTAGACCAGTTTTAGTTGTCTTGAAAACTAAAACTTTTAGACACAAAAAGCTAAAACTTTTAGAGACCAATTTGAGCTGTCTGAAAAACTAAATTTTTTGTCTTCATAAACATCGTGACCGTTGTAGGTTGTAATAGGCTTTTAAAGACAAATTTTGATTGTCTCAAAATCAAAACTTTTTGCAACTATATATTTTTGTCTCTAAAAATCTATTTATAGTGACAAATGCAAAATTTTGTCTCTAAAAGTCAATTTTGGACTTTTCTAGACAGACCATTTGGGACAAAATTCGCGACAAACAAAATTAGTTGGCTAAAGTTTTTTCCAACAAATGTTACATTTTTAGGGACAAAATAAATTTGTTCCTAAAAAGTTGATTTCTTGTAGTGATAGATGCTAATGAAAATTACTAGTAGTACAAATTCAAGAAGTGTGAAATTAACCCATTAGAGAAAGTTGATTGAGTTATTCTTTTAGTTGGTCAAAAATAATAATGAAACTCACACAGTAGCTTTATCTCACAAAGGCATTGTTAGATAATACATAGAAACGAGTCCACATTTTCCAATCAAATAATCTAAACTCGAATACAAAATTGAGTCGAGGAAGAGAGTTATGAAATTTGACTAATTGAAATATTTCTGTATATTTTTACTAGCATTGAGGACCATGTTCTTCATTGCAATTTACAACCATGTCAAATAGAGTAAAACTACAAGCAGCAAAGGTTCATATGAGAACCCCATGTAACTAAGATCAGCTGGCTTCTCCATGAGTGCTATACATATTTAGTATTTACATAATGCAAACTTGTTCATTCTCTTCCTCTCTCAAGCCTTTTTTGTGGGGGAATGGAAAAAGACTTTCATTGGCTTGATAACAAAGTAGAGTCAGCTGACTCCACTAGCATTGACCACAGTACATGCACATCTTCACATTGACATGACTTCACATCTTCATACAGTATGTATATTCCTCTACCTGGAGATTAAACAATAATAGAAACAAAAAAATTAAAAGCAAAATAATAGGCTATTAAAAGTAATGATATCAGAAAGATTGAAAAAGAAATTTGGGGTTGATTCAAAATTGCAATGCAAAACAGATTTAGAATAATAATGCCAGAGAATAAAAGTTGTTCTAATGAATACTAAGAATGCTCGGGAGAAACTGATGAAAATAATGCAAAGCTAAGAATTTTCACAAGAGCATGGGAAGGGAAGCTACGGTTTCTCCCAGTTGAGCGTATGCGATTCCAGAGCTTCTTCAATGGGGAGAGGAGGGAATGAAGAAGCCATCCCATTATAGGAAGGAAGTGGTGCTTTGGTTCTCAAGGTAGGTGAAAGGTTGGAAGGAAATAAGAGAGTTGAGTGAGTGAGTAGAGACTCTGTATGTTTGCTTAGGTTCTCTTCTCTATATTTTTTTGTAGGGCAATCACACAAGAAAATATATATTTTCTCTTGGTGTCACGTCACATTCATACCCCTTTTTTTCTCCTTGTAAAATAAGGAGCCAAATCAAACCCCCCTAGTTTCAATTTCACATTTCAAAACTTCCTTCCTCACTAACGACACTTGTTTCTCAAGCCACAACTTGTACCCCACTTTTCAATAAGACTAGAAATATAGAATTGATATAGAAAATATATAGACAAACAAAAATTTACAAGTTTTATTGGTGAAACTCACTTCTAAAAAATCATATCCATCAATATATTTTAAGAAAAAATTAGACCAGTAATATATGTATTTGATCTCTTGTATCAATTTAGGAAACAATCATTCAAAAAATAATGAAGACCAATAATACATTGCCATGTATCCAGTGCCATAAAAAAAATTTAAAAAAAGAAAAAGAAAAAAAAAAGTGATCATATATAGTGGTCCTCTTGATTTTATCCGCGAATTTTTCACATTATATGAATTTAGTCTAATTGATAACACATTTTTACACAAACTAATCCATTCATTTCGCTCAAAGTGACTGAGGGATTGATATATTTAAAATAATATATTCTTATTTGTTGGTTCATTTTCTTCTACATCTCTGTTCAATTACTTAACGTATTTTACAATTAAATTGACCTAATATGAAAAATTAAAAATCAAAATTGATACAATTGAAACTACAATAACCAAATTGATACCAAAGATACAAATTACAAAGAGTCTTATTTTCTATGTCAAATTATGTATTACCATTAATGAAGTGTCTTCATTACTCTTTGGTCTCCCTTTTTGTATGCACAAAGCCTCAAGTTATCTTCACCTACAAGATTTTTGTTGTCATCATTTTACTATTTGCGTTTTCAAAATTTTACCTATAGTTTGTAGACAGTTGGTGCAGAATTCACCTGCACTGCAAGAAAACTAGGAATTAGCATTACACAAATGCCCTCTAAGTTGAAGGAGTTCACACCTCAAACTATGAGAAATTATTCAGCAATACTAGTACATCGGGTCATCACTTTGATGTAGTGTGCCAAATTGATAATTTTCTTTTTTTAAAAAATGGTAGTTATTTTTTTGAATTAATAACATATTTGCAAAGTTCATAAAATGTCTTCATGTATTGTTCCCATTGATTGGACGCACTGTTGATGTGGTATGCTAAACCCATGAAAGAATTTCTCCTCACATATGCTTCCTGTTGAAGCCTCCAAATATATAACTGTCAACATGGCTGACTAGAAAAATTACAGAGACAAAACTATCCCAAATATCTGAACGTAGAGTGGTCCCACAACCATACAAATCTCCCCCATCTAACAAGGTGGAGATTTTTTATTTTCACTATCCAAACACGCTGCAAAATAATATTTAAAACTTGTGAATCAAATTCATTCTAAATGTGATCTACACCCTATTAAATTTAATTTTACATCACACATTCAAATTGTAAACATACATTCCCAACTTTTCCCCTTTTTTGTTGGTTCACTATTTTTTGAGACCTTGTTCTTGGTAGTATTTTATTTTATTTTTTGTTTGGTTCAACGGTTAAAGTGTCCGAGCTAACTTATGCGTATATTAAAGCCTCGTTTGGAAACCCTCCCTTTTAGTAAAAAAGCTAAAAAGTTACTAAAGTAGTCAAAAAGCCAATAATCCATACCAAAAAGTCAAAGATTCTCTTTTATCTCTACTTTTTACAATCTTTTCGTAAAAAGCCAAAAAGTCATCCCAAACATACTAGTTTTTTTTAGCTCATATTTTAGTCAAATAACCAAAAAGTTACTAAATTATAAGATGTATAAAAAGTAAAGAGAAAAGAAAATTTTTGACTTTTAGTATAAATTATTGATTTTTTAACTAAATTAATAACTTTTTAATTTTTTAATTAAAATGGAGAATTAGGCCTAACTAACCCCCTCTCCAGTGTGGTCAAAAGCAAGTCATCGATGTCAGAACTACGAAATTCACAAAAATTTACTTTCTCACCGTCTGAACCCAAAAGTCGAATTTGAGAAATTATGTAAGGAGCATACTGACCAAACTGAAAACTCGTCTTCATATGCGAGCTAGAGAGGCCTTTTGGCCCAACCCAAGTTATTCACAAAAAAACCCATGGACCCACATGACCTCTGCAAATGGCAAAACGGACCATATACCCGTGGAGTCTGGACGAAGGAACAATCTTGGGAACCACAGGATCGACTCTCATCAAATTCACTCACTCATTCACACGGACACCCCAAAATGATAGCTGTATCATCGTCGTCTCTCCTCCTTCTTCCTTCTCTCTCGTGTCCTTCACTGCGACCCCAACTTTTTCATCCCCAAAAAACCCACCTCTCCATTCCCATTTCCTGCCCAAATCTCTCTTCAATCCCTCTGAAACCGACCCTTCTTCGTAGCAGATCCTCAGTTCTCGGAAGCAATTCGAATGACCCGAAAGAGACCGCGTTCCTGGACGAAAATGGAGTCATCGATGATATGGATGGGTATATGAACTATCTCTCCCTCGAGTACGACTCCGTTTGGGACACCAAGCCTTCCTGGTTAGCTTTCCCTTTCATGGCTATTCTCAATTTTAAAACATCTACCCTGTTTTTGGAAAAGGTTTTCCGTTGAGCTCCCTTGCTGGAAAGAAAAAAAAATATAAACTATATCTTCGAATTGAGATTTGGTTGGTCAATGCAGACATGAGGGGTCGAATTTTGATTTGGGTTTTATTTATTTATTTATTTTTATGTGAGAATTGGATTGCATATTGTACAATTAATTGAATCAGAAAAGCAAAGGTTTTATGAGCTGTGTTTATAGATAGTTTTTTCTCAGTAGAGTGATTTTGTGAAAGAATCAAGTATAACATGATTAATCCTAGTAATAAAATCAGTGGATTGGTTTCTGTAGCTAAATCTGGAATTCTGGATAGTGTTCTTAGGTAAGAGTTTGTTCTGGCCACTGCAATCATATGACTGGACTTTTGAGAACTTGCCACTTTTATCTTGGTTCATCAGTTTCTGGGAAAAAACGAACAGAGATGAAGGTTTATAACCTTGCAAGGATTTGGGGATGGCTGGTTTGTTTTAAGATTAGAGAGTATCAGTGCATTGCACATTCATAATTGTTGGAATACTTAGGTTCAAGATTTCAAAGCATATTTCTCATTGTAGGCCATTGATGCATTGGTCATGAATTGCGGATTTGGGTAACTGTAGAGGCAGGTTGAAGTATATTCTGTGACATTATCATTTAAAATAGAAATAAGCAGCCAATATTTATCAAACAAGTGAGGTCTGTAAGCTAGTTTTGGAATTTGTTCTGCTATACCAAATCAAAGACCTTTGTTTGTTGGTTCGTTTTATTTTCTGTTCATTTTACATATTTACAATGTGCATGCGTTATATATAGTTTTAACTCGATTTCTTTGTTAGGTGTCAACCATGGACAATAACACTGACAGGACTGATAGTGATTACCTGTAGCTGGTTAATTTTACACTCAGTAGTCGTCACTGCAGTAGTTCTCTCTCTGATTTGTGCATGGTGGTACATCTTTTTGTATACTTACCCAAAGGTATGGTCATTTTCCTTCTTGTTCATTGGCTATTCATTGTTATGCTGCTGTTATTATTTTGTTCATTTTCTGAACTTATGGAGCCATTTGAAGGGAAACTAAATCCTAGCTCTAATGTGGATTATCGTCAATTTTGATTATGAAAATGCTAATCTATAATTAGTTTTCAATGCTAACATCCTTTGCATTCAGGAAAGATAAGCAAAAATGCTCACCTTGAATTTTCCTCTTTTTCTCAGGCATATTCAGAGATGATTGCTGAGCGGAGAAAGAAAGTGACAGACGGTGTTGAAGACACAAAGGATACTGCCCATCTTTCCATCGTGTTTATTAATTGCTGTCCCATGGCATCTACCAAGCCGCCCCACGGATTGACTGGCTGAGTAGATGGGACACTGGATGGTCCAATACCTTGGTCTCGTCCACTATTACGAACAAATGGTATTTGCTCTGAGGTATTGGTCTGTTCGACCATGGGTTCTGATAGGATAGGAGTTTCCACAGGATGTGTTATCACATTATCCTCTGGATTGGATGTCTCCACTTCTCCTTCCACGCCTTCTTCTAAACGTTCATTTTCTCCTTGTCTCCTACGTCTAGCCATTTTGTTTTTAAAAAGGTCCCACTGAGCGTGCCAAAAATATATGTTGGCTTTTTTGGCTTTCGAAGGTTACTTTCGTAATTATGAGCGTGCCAGCAAGGATCAATCAGTCCTTACAGAATTGCCAAACAATTATTCAGACGATTGTGTTATGGTTCTTTCGGCCTCAATAAAGAGGACTTTTACTGGTGGCTTACTGGTAATTTAACTTTAGAAAATTTGAATATAAGAACAGTTAACTAAACTGGAGTATTTCATTAGTATAAAAGAACTTACAATGATCTTAGTTCCGTAGAGAATTACAGCGGCAATATACTTGACAACTACTCCTACAAATGAAGTGCAGCGCAGAAACTAAAAATACAGGAATATAAAGGACAGAAAATAACACTCGAATATGTAAAGTGATTCTTTAGATTTTTCTCCGTCCCTTCTCTGAAGTCCTTCCTGCTATTTATACTCTCTGAAGATAACTATTGAATTGTACTTCAAACCGTCGAACTGCTCTTCCGTAGTTGCTGATCATGCTACCTTATAAGTAGTCCCACTACGCGTTCACTTGCAGTTAGGCTTCCCCCTTATATTTGAATTTGAAATGTGAGTAACCGTCGAAGCCACGTCACTGTATGTCTCTTTGTTGATCTGCTACTACTCAGATCTTATAACAACAAATATTAATTGCCACGTGTATGATCAGAATCGAAGACCTACCTGGTCTCCCCACATTACCCTTACTTCGCCACGCGTCGGATTGTCACTGGCTTAGTACAAAATGTGTAGCCAACAGTTCTGCTATACCAATCAAAGACCTTTGTTTGTTGGTTCGTTTTATTTTCTGTTCATTTTACTTATTTACAATGTGCATGCGTTATATATAGTTTTAACTCGATTTCTTTGTTAGGTGTCAACCATGGACAATAACACTGACAGGACTGATAGTGATTACCTGTAGCTGGTTAATTTTACACTCAGTAGTCGTCACTGCAGTAGTTCTCTCTCTGATTTGTGCGTGGTGGTACATCTTTTTGTATACTTACCCAAAGGTATGGTCATTTTCCTTCTTGTTCTTTGGCTATTCATTGTTATGCTGCTGTTATTATTTTGTTCATTTTCGGAACTTACAGAGACATTTTAAGGGAAACTAAATTCTAGCTCTAATGTGGATTATCGTCAATTTTGATTATGAAGATGCTAATATATAATTAGTTTTCAATGCTAACATCCTTTGCATTCAGTCAAGATAAGCAAAAATGCTCACCTTGAATTTTCTTCTTTTTCTCAGGCATATTCAGAGATGATTGCTGAGCGGAGAAAGAAAGTGACAGACGGTGTTGAAGACACATTTGGTTTGAGAAAGAGCCAATGATTTTTAAGAGGGGAGGGAGGCGTGGGGTGGGGTTGGGTTGGGTAAAAAGAAATTTTGCAAATGTTTATGCAAGCACGGGAATTACACCAACCTATGAAAGTGTATAGGTCCGGATATTGTGTTAACTGATTGATGATTAGCAATGAAGAGAATTTGTGATGTGAAAAAATGATTCATGACAAATCATAACTAAAAATTTGAAAGAGGAATAGAATATTCATACCTGTGTGATGAGAAACAATTGTGAATGTAAATTCCCATTGCAAAGACGGGTTTTGATGGTTATGCTCATTTGCAAAAAGAATTTGAAGAAACATTCACAAATTTGAAGATTAAATTTTTACAGCTTAACCCAAAACTTGGGGCAAATGTTATTGTGCCGTTACTACATTCAACATTGAACATGAAGACTATCCTAAAAGTGGTATAAAAAAAAAAAACCAAAAGTGCTACCTAATTTTGAACACATGCCACCTAATTTAACTTCAAGTAATATAATCATCTGTAGCAAAGTCCTGCTGTTTGGTCTTCTTGAAGCTGACTCCTCATTGTCTACTCATGCTCCATTTCATGTTGAGACTGACAACTATGCACTTTTAGCTCCAGGTCCACGGTTTTTTACACTAGCTTCCTTGGTGTTTGTAGCTTCAAAGGATTGAGCAAACGGAGGTCGATGGTTTTCTCCGTGACTTGTTCACTCTTATTGAGGACCTTTCTAAATGGTCACTGTTCTGCATCTCTTCCTAATGCAATGTTCCCACTGCTAACACCCCCGGTGTTGTTGGAATTAAAAAAAGAAACAAGGATCACTCATTGTATAAAAAGCATTAAGAGAACAGAATATCAAATAGTGTAGAAAGAAGTAACTAACTTCTTAGTATAGGATTTTTTAACTGCCATTTTATATAAAGCATTAAGAGAACAGAACATCAACGCATTATGTAGGATTTTTTAACTGCCATTTCCGTTGAAAGTATTAACAACCTCACAAATCATGGAAAGTGAAGCACTTGCAGTAGTGGATCCAGAAATTCTTATTGGGAGGGGCTGGAGCAAAGTCATAGTCCCCTAAATGAATGAATGTAAAAGGAAACTTTTGAAGTATTGTAGGTCCAAGGTAGCAAGTACTACCTGAAATTTGGGTTTTTCTATGAAGCTTGAGCATGGTGGCCCTTGTGAACTCATGTAGATTAACATAAAGCAATCTACTCTTGATGATATTCCATTTCTAAAAACATTGCAGTACTAAATACAGTTAAATTTGATTATACACTTTATAAACATAGCCTATGAAGCATGGGTACTTTGGAGAACTTACTGTACCCGTACCGGGTACTTACCGGCATATCGTGCCTCGTATGGTACTTCTGCGTACGTACCGAGTACACGAAACACGTACCCAAATTTTTTCTTCTTAATTTTTGACGTACCCAGTATATATTTAAGCCGTACCGTACCTCAGTTGAAACAATATTTTCCTTTTACTACAGAGATAAAACTCATTTCACTAGACTTCTTTTTTATTTTTTGTTCTATGCTTAGCATGATTTTAAAATTAAACTATAGTTTGTAAGTTATTTAATATATTGACATTTAATTTTGATTTATACTTTTACTTTTGGCATTAAATGTTAAATATAGGTTAATCTTAACAAATTAAACCATTTAATTAATTTTTGCATTTCTCTAAATTAAACATAAATATTTTTTTACAAGCGTATCAAGCCGTATTCGTACCGTACCCGTACCCTATTTTTTTTTGAATTTTACCGTATCGACGTACCCGTATTGTACGGGTACGGGTACTCGTACCCGTGCTTCATAGAGCATAGCCTTCAGCATTGGGTACAACGGGGTCTTTTGGTATAATCAATTTTTAACCAAAAAACTGATTATAACCATTTTCTCAAAATAGGCCTAACCTTGTTTTTATTTTATTTTATATATACGGGGATTATAAGCTTTTCTACAGGAAAGATTTGATACAATACATGTTTCTTGCAAGTATTGATCACTGACTTAACAAATAGGAATGCAAATCCTATTTTTGTACTAATTATTGGATAATGATGAGCAACTTTTTGTGATTGAACACCATAGAAGAATATGTAGTAATAGTTTAACTAGTTCATAATTTTTGTTCTCCTAAACTTATTACTCATTACAGGGTCAATTGTACATCTTATAGAACCAAAACTGAAAAACAATGGGAATAAACAGCATCAAGACTTTGGCATTCACTCACCATAATTGAAATTGAAAAATCTAATAGGGGGGCAACAAACATGGATTTGAAAACTAATTCCAGTTAGGAGAAACTTACATGTGTATTATTGCTTCAAAATTCAAGTATCTTGAACCCAAATCCTTATTGTTTTATCGCCATCAAGGCCAGCAGAGGCAATTTTGTTCTCAGTAGGGTGGCATGTTACAGAGATAACAGTATCAGAGTGTCCGTCAAGTTTCTGAACCATATTCTTCCCTTGTAGATCCCACAAGTAAACAGACTTATCCTCTGATCCGCTGACGATGTATTTCCCATTTGTCACTGAAAATGTGGATGTTACACAATATGCCCGATTGGCATGACCTGTATAGATTTTCAAGAACTTCCCAGTTGAGTAGTTCCAAAGCTTCTGCATCCAGAAACAATAATGAAAGAAAAAGGAAGGTTAACTCATCTTATATCTTCAAACACTTTCTTTAAGATCTTTTGAAGCAAATAAATTCATTATTTGAAAAGATTGGCTGAATGAAACAAAACTACTTGACCAGTTTGAATTGAACAATCCAGTTCTTGGACACAACAACAAATTTTATTATCTTCATTTTCCTCAAAATTCTCAGCAACCAACAGAGAGCATTTACACAATTCAGTAACAGAAAACGTTAAATGCTAACGATATAACTACATTTCAAGTATTATTCTTTCCAACCAAAACCCGAAAAGAAAAATAAAAACGAATGCTAAAAACAAGATTGTAAAGAGCATCCCCAATCCTTCATCAATTTTTTCATCAAATTGAAATTTGATGAGAAACTAGCTAAAAGTATGCTCCAACCATTTCATCAAATCTGTATCAAATCAACAAAGAGGCAATATTTTCCCACCAAATCAAGGATGAACCAAAAACACCACCAAATTCCCAACAGTCATTTTTAACTCAAATTTGATGAATTTTAAGAAGAGAAAGGGTTGGAGTTGGTTTTTAGGATTATCAAGCATTTAGCGAAAATTTTAGGGATTGGAGATGCTTCCAAAATTTAATTATGTCCAGAGTTTCCAAAGCCAACTAGATTGAATAGTTGAATATCAATCAATGTACACTAAATTTCAAAGAAATTAAGAAGCTAAAGGTTAGAATCTTGATCAAATAGAATAGTTAACAATCAACAAAATTAAAACTTACTAGAGTGTCATCGAGAGTCGCAACGAGAATGAACTTCCCATTGGGTGAGAATTTGGCGAAAGAAACAGCCGGACCCTTATCATCAATCAACGTCTTCAAGCAAGAACCATTAGCAGCGTCCCAGATCTTACAAGACCCGTCGTGACTCCCCGAGACAATCAACGAACCATCGCGATTAAAATGCACCGAAGTCACAGGCATAGAATGCGCTCGTATAACATGAACAGACCTCCCAGTCTTCACATCCCAAACCCTAACAGTCTCATCGAAAGATCCAGAGACGATGAGGTTGGACTGAGGATTGAAATTGACGCAGAAGACGAAGTCGGTGTGGCCGCGAAGCGTCTTGACGCACTCGGCGGCGCGTGAGTCCCAGATGCGGAGAGTGCGGTCGTCGGAGGCGGAGCAGATGTAGTGGGAGTCCGAGGACCAGGCGAGGTCGGAGACGCCGTCGGAGTGGCCATCGAGGCGGGAGATTAGGGTTAGGGTTTGGGAGGACCAGACGATTAGTTTTTTGTCGAGGGATGCGGAGGCGAGGAGTGTGCCGTCGTTTGAGAACTTCACGCACGAGACGGCTCGCTGGTGGCCGGTTAGGGTTTTCAGATGTCTGTAAGGTCGGTGGTTCGACTGTTCTTGGTTGTTGCTCGCCATTGCTGTCCAATTTCGTATCTCCGATGGACCGACTATTTGTAGGAATTGGATGCCGTCACGCGAAACGGATCGGCCCATGTCGGTTTGGGTCCGGTTATTCTTTTATGGGATAATTACGAAAAAAAAAAAAAACACAGAGCAGAAGAAAGCGAGTTTAAAGTTTTGACCTCGTTTCGAAAGTGACTAATTGGTTATTTTGACTATTTTAATAGGTTATTTTAGTTTTCGTGTTTAGAAAGATGAGATGAATTTTTAATTGAGTTATTGTATTGAAAAGTGTGTTGAAATGATATTTAAATTTAAAATGACAAATTTATCCCTGAATTATAATTTTTTAAAATGATGTGAAGGGGTAAAATGGTAATTTAGACATTGATGATGACTGTGAGCCTACACTGTCCGGGCTGCAGCCTTTTTTTTTTTTTTTTTTTTTGAAAACCTATGAACAGTGTTGCTTTTGGGCTTTTTTCTCAAATGAGGCTATAATAGCCTCATTTCCAGCTTCCCAAACAGCGCCTTTGTAACAAAATAAATACTGAATTTTTAATTTAAATTTTAATATATTAATTTATTTTTTATTTCAATTGTTTGATTATTTTCGTTAAGTAAAATTGATAAAAAAAATATTTTAGTTATTAAATTCAAAAGTAAATTATAAATATATTTCTTGAGATTTATTTAAAATATAAATTGTCTCATGTGGTTTTGAAAATTACAAATATCTCATTGTCATAATTTTTTATTTAACAGAATTAACTAAAAAAATAAAATTTATAATTGCTCTTTAATACAATAATAAAATTACCTAAATTATTAATTGAAACATATTTCTAATATTATTAAAAACTTTTAATTGACTTTATGATTTATTAATAAAATGGACAATCTGTTACGAAATTAAAAACCTCAAGGGTTGGAATGTAATTTCTAAAACCACAGAGGGTTATTCATATTTTAATCAAATCTCTGGGGTGTATTTGTAATTTATCTTAAATTCAATGTAGATATAAAATTTATAACTTTTTAATCAGCATTATTGTTGATTTTCAACTTTTAGTAAAAAAAGGTTAAAATAATAGCAAATTGAAAAAAACTAAGAGATAAAAAAAAGGGATTGGCGAGGAGGTCCCGTTTCAATAATTTGAACCGTTCAATATGTAAAATTCGTCGAGTACTATATGCTTATAAAAAATCATATTGATCTGATATCTATAGCTATTTCATCGGATTAAATTTTTTTCAATTGTTTATTTTTTCACCGTCTATTTTTTTTTATTCAAAATTAATTTAATCACCTAACTATCGATATCTAATAACGTGATTTTTTATAAAGATTTTTATAAATATATAGTACTCGACGAGTTCTACATATTTAACGGTTCAGATTGTCAAAATGAGACCCATAATAAACGCTCACGGACTCAAAAGCACCCCTGCCAAACCCATAAAGAAATTCCAACCTTTTAATTTTAGTTTTTCTTTTAGAGGGTGTGAAAGGAAATAAATATGTCACTTATAGGATATACGAAGAGCAACGGTTGGATTGGTGGATAAGTCTTCACTCACCAATGCTTGGGTTCCAATTATAGAGGTTTTCTTTCTATTCCTACCAATTAACTCAAATCAATTTAAGAAAGTAGGAGTATCGGATTAGAACCAACTAATAGTTGTTCAAATCCTTGTTTAAATCAAATGAAATCACAATATAAAAATAATAATAATAAAAAAATCAATATGGAGACTTGAAATTCTAGAAAAGCTGCCTATGATTTAGCAGCCAGCATGTTTGGTTCCGTGCAACTCTTTCTATCTCCGTAGGTACGGCTTGCCGTAATGCATATCCTGTCCACTGTAGTCTTGCTTACAAAACAAGTAGTCAAACAAAAGAAACTCCCCGTCTCATAATTTCAATCAATTTACTACTAGTATTTAACACTGAAAAGGAGAGCACCTTTGGCTATAGCAAAACCAAAACCAAAACCAAAACCAAAACCAAATCCAATCTGGGTTTCAAATTCCATCTCTCTCTCTCTCCAAAATCCATGGCTGAAAAACTATTCATGGTTCCTCCCCTAAAGCAGCAGCTACTGGAAGAAACAAAAGACTCGCAGAATCATCCCAAGTGAAGCAGAGTGGCAAAGGCAGACCAAGAATTAAATGAACGCAAGGATGCCCATGACACAGGTGATGTTGATCCAACTCTATCACAAGAAGTAATTAAGTGTTGGAAAGTAATTTAAGAGTCTACACTTCTATTACACTGTGTTTAGTTGAGGAATTTGAGAAAAGATTTAAAAAGTTGAGGAATTTGAAAAAAGATTTAAAAAGGTAAAAAAAAAAAATAATAAAATGTGAATAAAATATACATATATCTCACATAGTTTCACACTTTTTTCATTTCTCTTTTCAAACCTCTTCCCAAATCCTCTAACCAAACACAGCATTAGAGTTCACAAATACCTAGATATAACATATGAATTTCAAAATTTTTATTTTTGAATTTGTAAAGGGAGAAGAAAATAGAAGTAAAATTATGGAGAGAAAACAATGAAGTGAACAGAAACTAAATTATTTTCTTGTTTGGGGGAATGAATTCTCAATCTTTTGTGCAAGTAAATTCTTCAAACAGTGAATAAAATACTGCAGCTCAGCTTAACAATGGTTGTTCTTCAATTTAACTTAGAAATATTATCCATGTTTTTGACAAGAATAGGTACATCTACACATATTAGAGTAGAGGATATCAGCACAACATTTAAGTACAAACAGAAATAAACTTTGAGTCACTGGTTGAGAGGGTAAAATAAAAAGAATCCCTCCCATTGGTACTCCTCCATTCCCTCTAGGTAAATAGTGAAACCAAAGGCTTGATTCAGGAAAAACAAACAGAAAATTAAAAAAACACTAATATATCACCCCACATATGAGATTTTGCAAGCACCTACTGATGTAACGGTAGGCAGGACCAGGACTGCTTGAGAGGGTATTCGTTGCCTCACCACACCGTATTTCAGCCTAAGCTTCCATAAAAGCATCTCCTTTAGTATCTGTCAAGAACCACAACCATTAAATGACACAAATTTGTCGGTGAAAAAAAATTACGAAATGTGACAATCCGGTGGTCCACATATAGATCTTGTTTGATGCGTCTTAAGGGACTGCTTATAGTCGTCTTTTTTTTTTGGGTGGTGGTTGTTGGGAAATCATTGTTGTTAAGAGTGTTTGGTCCAACTTCTTACAAATTATAAGGCAGAAATAACTTAAATAAACTAAAAAAAGCAGGAGAACGAGTACTTTTAGTTTCGATTTTCTAATTATCAAGTTTCAACTTATAAAAGTTGCACCAAATGGATCTATACTTGGGGATTGAGAAGTTTGTGGGGAAGGAAAACACAATTCAAGACTGTCTGTCTCCATTTAATATCAAAACTGAAAACTTTGGTTCGGAAAGATCACACCCTAAATTTCATTCATAGTTAACTTGCATAAACAAATTGGGCAAAAATATTGACATAACAGAAAATAAAGACAGTGGCTTATCACTATTGGACTGAATTCTCAACCCTTTGAATTATGCATCAGACACCATGCAGTTAATTCTAAATCTAAAGAGACCATTTGGCTTGTACAACTGAAACCCGCAGATTTTATGAATACAACACAAATCACCGTGACTCTCACATTTCCCACAGAGAGAGAGAGAGAGAGAGAGAGAGGAGTACCAACATTTCAGTGACACAAACTCCAGTTCTTGCCTTACTAGGTGGTTCTGTCAGACAACCAGAAAGTCCACTTCATCTGAACTTTCCTCATAAATTACATAACTGGAATCTTGACCATCCTCATAGCCGCTACCCGGATCACTATTATAGCTACTTTCTGATGAACTCATGAACAACATCCCGTCTAATGTATGACTGCTTGGCTGTGAAGGTGAGCTGAAATCACTATATGTGTCACTCCCAATCATTTGTTCAATCTCAACAAAACTGTAAAGCATGCACAGAAATCCCACAAAGAAAAGATTATAGATATAGTTCCAAGTTCCTTTGACATAAATTTTTGATAAATGTAAAATTTGAACCGACCTTCCTTCAGGAGGGAACTCAGCCAGCAGGCAGAAGCCAGGCCTTTCTTCCAATAGTTGCTTTACAGGGATGACACTGCACAGTATGCACCAATCCAAATGTCAACAAAACATAATACATTCGAAGGAACAGTCCAAAATAAGATAACCGCTACACTACCTTGTGGTGTAACATCTATGATACCAGTCACCTTCAGATGCCAGACCTTCCCTGTTAGATATGTCCTGTAGGAGGTTACATTGAATTTCAGAAGGGAAAGCTCAAAAATTCTTTTTATGAAAAAACATAAAAACACAAAACAGGAAAGCATAAAGCCCAGGGATCATACCAAGTTTAAGCAAAAGAAACACAAACTAAAATGAATGACAACTAAAATTTGTTTCCACTCACAAGATGTCTAAGGAGCTTAAAATCTCCTGCAAGAATTGCTGTCGAAAACCGTGCAACTTCCACCTGCACACGACACAATTTAGAGACATTTTTTTTGGGGGGAGAGAGAGAGAGGTTGTAACTCACTTCTTTGAGATGCATACAATCACGTAAAATTAAAACCTCCAGTAGATTCCCACCAGCACTGCCTCCAAGGTTTCTGAAAGACAGAAGGTGGCGTATTTCAAGAAAGAACTTAGGAAAATTTTCAGCAAGGACAGGACAAAATTCTAGAAAAGTCATCTTCATAGGAGATACACCTACCTTAGAAAGGTACCAGTGATTGAGTAGGATGTTGAGAAGTCAACATATTTCAGTTTCCGAAAACCCTGCATAGAGATTGATATAATTTCTTTACATTAGAATGATTCTGTATAAAAATTTCGAAACCACTTTCTAGGATTCCATATTAGTCAATTGACCTTGCTACATAAATATACAAAATTAAGAACATATACAAATAACCTCCCCCCATCTCATTCTTGCAGACATACATACATGCTCTTCACACACACCAACATAGAGAGATCTTATTGTGTTGTATGTACTTGGTAAATCTTAAATTATTCAAATAGGAAATTTTCACATTAATACAAAGTTACCCACTTTGAACCAAAACCTTATTTCTTCTAGCCTAACCCCTCAAAGAACTGCTGGCCAACAAATGGCCGGCAGGCTATTTTCATTGGGCCAGCCGTACGCTTTCATGGCCGGTCAGCCATGTTTAGCGCAGGTAGATATTTTACAACAACCAGCTGTCCCCATGTGCATGCCTTGCACCAGCTGTCTCTTTGCTGATATTTCCGACGTGAGATGTTGTTTTTCTATAAATACAAGGCCCCCCCTCATGGTTTAGGGTTAGAAAAAATTCTCCAAGAGCTATAGCTTGTCCAATACACTTCCCTCCTCGCTTGCAATATACATATACTATACATACACCCTCTAAGCTTGAACTTGAGGCTTTTACTGACTTGCCTACCATAGCCACTTATTTCCTTCCTCGTCAATTAATGAAACTCATGCATTATACCATCAGAATCACTGTTCAATGAAGTACACAGGATAAAACAATGAGGGTGCTCTCAATAAGTCTTTGGTTCATGCATGCTTTCTCAGGAAGTCAAACTGTTGTAATCAGATTACCATCTACCCCTCTTGTATGTTTCCCAACTAAGAGCAAACTAAATCACCCAGAAAATTTATAGCAGCTGGTTGTTCTAGTTCCACCTCTCAATGAGTTAGGTCCAGAATTAGAAAATAAAAACTGTCCGTAGGTCCAGTGGGTTTTTGATTGACATCAAACCACTCTCAACAAACTAGAGCATTTACTGATTTCTGTTCAGCATGACATAATCCCTATAACAATAAATCTCACAAAGATAACAATATTCATTCTGCAATGATGGATTAGAAACAATTACTCATATTCAAATCTCCAGAAACAAACCTTGACAAGTATGCGAACTTTGTGGTCATGCAGCTTAAAACCTCTAAGTGATAAGGAAGTCAGATGAGGACAATTGTTCACAAGATCACAACATGTTGGCAATTTCAAACTGTCATCTCTACCTGGAAATAACACACAGATAAGCAACTGGTTTTTCAAGCTTGAGTATGCAGAAACCATACGCAGAAAAGGAACAGACCTGTTTTTGAAGATTCAAAATACAACCGCTCTATCAAGTGACAATGTTTGCTCACTGACTCAAGTGTCTGCCTCAATTCAACATGACTGTTGCAAGAAAAATTGTTCCTTTCAAAAAAAATTTGCCATTGCAGATAAAAATGACAAAGCACAGGAAAAGTTGTCATTAAAAGGGCCAGATCACAAACAAAAAGAAGTAGAAAAACACCAGTGTTCGCCTATGACAAATTTTGTAGTGATTTTCTTACTGCCCCCATCAGTTACATGCTTGTTCACCTAAGAGGCACCCAAGATAAATGATCTACCCTTAGGTTCCTCCTGAGTCACATCTCCTAGGCACCCACCCTCCCATTCAGAAACATTGTTAAGCAACAAAAGAGGATTTTTTTTGTGCATTTTTTCTCTCTTTCTGCTCCCTTCCCTTTCCAGGCACATGTGCTTGTTCTCAGAGCGGCACCAAGATAATTAGCAAATGACACCATTAAATTCCACACCCTCCCTCACCCCTAATTAACAAATGACACCCTTCAAAAACGAAAGCTGATTACGCATCTTTGAAGATGTAACAAGTAATGATCAGCACCAATTGGACAGAGCCTGGCCATACGAATCCTATGCAATTAAATTCTAGTTGCCTCAGTGAGTTCAACAAAAAAGCACAGTATTATCATTACGTGTGTCATACAGAGTAAATATCTATGGTATTATAATAAAGAACCCCAGTTTGGTGAGCCTTTTTGTGAAACCGTGTCACATTTTTATTTTCCTAAAAAAATGAAAAAGAATTACTTAATTCATTTGCCAGATGAGTTTTCTATTTTTTTTCCCCACAAACTGCTTAACGATTAATATGTAATTTCATAGATCCAGTTACATAACCACCCATCAACTCTCTGCATTTTTTCTCTCTCAACTACCAATCCAACGATCAATATATCCTACAACACATGCTCCACTAACATTAACAACTTCAATGCTCCCTATGATGTAATCATGTGCATCATGTGTGCATTGACATTCTAGTATATATATACAAATACATACACACAAACATAAATACAAAACAGTAATCCAACCTCCACCAACCTAAAGTTGGCAACTTCCTCCACCTTTCTAGTTGGAAAAATAATGTAATTTTTAAAAAATAAAAATAAAAAAATGATACCCTCTTATGTTTTTTGACCAGTTCTTGTTAGGGATAGTTTTGCCAATTCAAGACTTCAATAACGTGACACACTCTCATGTGGCTGGGGGCAGAGAAGCCCCTCTCTCTGATCAAAACCAAGTTCCCCATCCCATCCACCAGGCAACGGGGAGTAGAAAAATGATCGAAATCAGAACTCAGTCACTAAATGTTGACATTTAATCAGGAGTCCCCATTTTAGTGCATTCTTTATCATCTTAAACAGTAACCATATTAAGGACAGACTGTTCTGCATTCATTAGTTTGATAAGTGGAAGATTGCTTAAGAAATCAAGAACGAAAAATGCCTTGCCCTAATCCAGTGATTTACGTATCAAAAAACTAAAATAAAGGAGGGGTGGAAGATATTTTAAAACATTAAAACGTACACACCACATGGTGTGTCAAACACATGTTGATGCCGAGTCCCGTAATAAAGAAGAAAAAAAAATCTAAACTTCCGTTCACATGGCTTATTAACTAAACTTCCATTCACATGGCTTATTAATTTAAAGTTCCACGCTCATTGCCTATTAATATGATACATTTTGGTGTAAAATTATCAAATATCTAACATTCTTTATCTGATCAGCTGCAAAAATGTCACTGTTCCATCCTATTGTTACATAATTTCACTTAAGTTCCATAAAAGCAAGAAATTCTTGTTCCCTACCTAAAGCACACTCCATCCTCGTTAATTTTCTTCCTTTCCCAACACCCTAAAATCAAGTTCCCCAAACTTTTGATTCTGTCCTGTGTTAATCACCCTAAAAGAAGAAAGTAACGTTGACAACTTGCCATCGCAACCAACAATTTTAAAGCTAAACAAGAATCTCTTTTGTGATATTCCCCATTCAGCAATCTCCTTTGCGACAACTCCAGCAATACTCCACTATGGCCAATTCTTCTCAGGCATGTGACAATGTAAACAAAATATGCACGTGGTGGGAACAGCTCAATAACATAAATACAAGACTGTTCAGCAGCCACATAATGCCAAGTTTAGTATCATGTACTAAGAGCATGATCAATCGAATAATTAATGTAACAGAATTCGAAACCAACTAAATAAAACTTACAGGCCAACAATCTCTAGATCAAGGAGAGATGGGCAGGCTGACAAAGCTGCACAAAGTGCTGCGTTATCCATTCTTTCAATATTGTAAAGGTGCAACCTCCTCAAAAGAACTCTTCAAATTCCAAGGCAAAGAAACAAAGTCAATATAATATATATATATATATATATATGGTGAGAATTTCCTTGGACATGGGCACATGCACCAATAAGGAATTTTAGATAAACCCAAAAAAGCCCCATCGTGCTTAGGTGCCATGCCATGCCATGCGGCAGCCCAGAGTGGGGTAGGTTGGAAACTCAGGACCTTCACCAAGGAATCATCCAACCCCTTGTATTGACCCACCAAAAATATACTAATAGTAATATATAAGAAAATTTCCTTAGAACCATACCCAGGAGTATCAATGTCCCCACTCAAAGAGCTCAAACAGGACCTAGTGAGAATAGATGACTCCTTTCCTTGTCTAGATCTCTTATCATTCCATGAAAAGCCAGATGCATCCACAGAGTTCCTGATAGTATAGACTAGTGGTTGAGAGGATCCAGGGGATGCAATTGGGCCGGGCACTATACCAAGCTTAAGAGACCTGAATTTAGAATTTTTTTTTTTATTATAAGTAACTGTTTGTTAGAGAAATAGATAGTAAGCTATGAACTGAAGATAAATATAAAACAAAACGTTATGAACATAACAATCATAAGAAGGAAAACCAGCAAATGGCTCACAAAATAATAATACAATACTTGCAAAGCCAATTTGAAGTCTAACTTTAAAATATTAACAGGTTTAATATTCTCTTCAAACATGAGGGTTTTTAGATGTCATGCCATCCTTCTTTCTAGGTATCAGACAACCTATAGAAGCATATCAATCATAAGTGTCATTATTCACGCTTAGCAAACATTAATTAACAATACCCAGTTTATTTGAGTTAGTATAAGTTGCATTTCTAGTGCTACCCTTGGTAAGTTTATCACTGGATCAAGCATGACATAGTTGATGGTCTCAGGCCCAAGTTGGACCGTATCAAGGTTACCAGTATAGTACTTAGATCAAGGCCAGTTGCCACACCTATGTAACATGTCTTCCAGCTAAAGGTTCAACAGTCCAAGCAGCTTACTGCTTACCTTAATGACATGCTCAATTGTGCATACGTCTGTGTATTGATTTGCATATGTATGTCTTTTATGTGTGTATTCAGACCAAGATGGATTATTAGGTCAATGCCTTTACAGTTAAAGGTCCTACCAAACCTTAGACTTGCAGCAACAATGCTGCAAATATTCAAATCATACCATTTTGTCTCATAAACTTTCACTCCAATATAATAACACAAAAACAACTGAATACTTAAATGAAAGAATCCTTACCGAAGAACTTTCCCAGCTCGTTGAATCATTGTAGACACAACCACATTATTGACCTTTGGGACTACTGATGTCAAGTCAATATTGGCATAGCACAAAGGATCCATAGCACACTTGTGGAAGAAAGAACACGTAGCTGCAGCATAGCATACGCTTTGTGTATCAAGCATTGAAAAGACCTACAAGCCAGCATATGACCAAGAATGGTTAAAGCACATTAAAGTTGCATATATTCATTCTAATCGGCATCTTATCAAACCCATAATTGTATACATCAATCCAATGCATTTAAACTACAACACATTTTTCAGATAAAATTATTACTTATGCTCTAATAACAATAATCATTTTTGTTACCGGTAAATCCAAACAGCAATATCAGATCAGTAAATTTGAAGGCCTATTCCCAAATGCAATGTAGCATGCTAATCGTTTGAGTGTAGAATAAAATTGTATTCAAATTTAGGCATCAACAATAATGAAGAATTTGCGGTATGAAACACATTCTCACTTCACTACTCCCCAAAGGCCTTTCAAAAAACATTAAGTTCCGAGAGTGTATGATTACTCGGAATAATGCATTTACAAATAAACAATGAACAATTAAACTAGATGGAATGAAGCAAGCAAATCTTATAAATCACGCTACAGTTAATGAAACAATAAAATATACCGAATTTGGCAGAACACACATAAAGATTGAAATTTCCCTAAATCAACAACACAATGAACATGCAAATCTTTCCAATTGACACTTAACACAAAACAACAAATACAACAAACTTGCCAAAGAAAAATTCATACATCAACAGTAAAATCTGAGGAACAGAACATACTTTGATAGTGAGATCAGGAGGTAGGGCCCAAGTAACAGCGTTGTGCATTGTGGCGCGCTTTCTGGCAGATCGTTTACCGGCTTCGAGAAGCGCAGAGCCAAGCCTCATGGCACGCTCGATCATATCGTTCTGGTCCGAATCGCAAGCCCTAGAATCGAGAAGACGATCGAAGGAGAGGTCGAGAGAGATAGTAGACGAATCGGAGAGACCTAGAAACGATTCCAAGAGGCGGTCCATGGGGTCGAGCTTCGAAACCCTAGGGTTGGAGTTGATGATGAGAGTTTCAGCTGGGGACGAGGAGCAACAGGGACGCTTGGCCATGGATGGGCAGTGGAGGAGAACGGTATCCATATCGATATCGGGTGGAGGAGAGAGAGATGGAGAAGAGAGAGTGATGTTTTGTTTACTAGTAGAAAGAGAGTCCAGTCCAGAGAGGGGTGAGAGTACGGACAAAAGGCATCGAGTGCCACGTGGTGAGCTGATTTTGCGTAGTGCGAGTACGTGGAGAGTGTAGATATAGCACCAACGATCCTCTAGAGTGAAATTTTTCTAAAGTTTTCTATATTGTGTGATTGAGATTTACTGACAAGTCACATCAGAAAAATTGATGTGACTTGCCAGTAAATCTCAACCATATACTATAACACTTTAAGAAACTTTAAAAAAAAAGCACTCTAGAGGATCCTTGATAGTAGATGTAGCCGCCGGCTGGTTTGTGAAAAAGGAGAGAGGGAAGTGATTGCGTCACCCGTTTAAGTATGAAACTGACGAAGCCAGCTGTCAGGGACAATAACCAAAGAATGATGATTGAACTAATTTTGGAACTATAAAGGACTTGAGTTTTAGTGATTAGTGATTAATAAGGAGTGGAGACTTGAGTTTTAGTGATTAGTGATTAATAAGGAGTGGATTTATATCATCTGCCTATGTTTTTATTTATTTATTTTTTTCTCTTATAGAGTGATTTATATCATTAATTTTGGAGCTATAATGAGTATAGAGGGATTAAGAAGGAGCGAATTCATATCATGTTTTATTTATTTTTATTTATTTATATTTTTCTTATCACATCATTAATTTTAGAACTATAAACAAAGTATAGTTTTAGTGATTAATAAGGCGTGGATCTATCTTTTATATTTTTATCTATTCATTTTTTTCTCTTAAAACATCAGTTAAGTTTTAAATTCTAAAATTAAAAATCGTAACAAAAGAATGGTGAAAGGGACAGTAAACAGCGTGGTCTTAAGAGGCACGGCATCGTTTGACAGCATTTAGGGCTATTTTAGAAAGTTGGCTAAAAGTCACTTTTTTTTTATTTATAGCAAAAGTTATAAGTTGGCTTTTTTGTCTTTTTTATCATTTGGGAAGTTCGTTTTTAGCTAACGGTGAAATTACAATTTTATCTTCGTGGGTCAAAATGTGTTACATAGGTGAAGTCGTAAAAATTTTAAATAAATAGAGATAGTTTGGTCATTTTATTATAATTTGACATCATAAACAAACATTAATCAAAAAAGTCAAAAGTCACTTTGGGTTGTTTTGGGAAGATGGTAAAAAGTGACTTTTTGGCTTTTAACCAAGCTTTTAGCTTTTTTAGACAAATGATTTGGGAAGTTTGTAAAAAGTGACTTTTTAGCTTTTTTTAGTTAATAATTTTTTATGTTGTCATATCATCATGGCATAGTGTAAAATGATCAAAATACCCCCTTCTCATTTGCAAATTACAGAATTTCACATGCTCTAGCTCCTTGTACTGTCACATACTCATCTCATGGATATGCAACGGTTTTTCTTTTTTTTTTTTTATTATATAAAATAAAATAAAAAATGTTTTGATATTTCATTTTTACCTTTAAATGTCTTCCTAAAAAATAAAAATACAAATTGTATAAAAATTCACCAAGGATAAAAAATTAAAAAAAAAAAAAAAAACATTTGTCTTATGATATTCAGCTTCCAGCTTCCCAAATGGGTTTCAAAACAGAAGTAACTCCTCGTATGTAAATTAAAAATAAATAAATAAATAATTTTAAAAAATAAAAATTGTATATATAACTCATCATAAAAATATTAAGAAAAATAAAAAAAAAAAGCTTCACTAGGCCAAAATAACTCCTCATATGTAACCGTATATATTATTCGTACAGATTGATTACAGCCGTAGCTCACGGCGATTTTGCACCAACACATTTCTAATAGATTTTCTAAATTCGTTCATTTATATATCATCATCACCCACTGGGTCAAGCTCATCATCATCACCAACACCCGCTGCGTTGGGCATGTCGCTAAAAATAAAATGATCCGCATTAGCAACCTTGTTGAATGCTTCATCTTCGTTTGAGTTGCGGCGTATGAAATTATGTAGTGCCATTGAAGCCCCAACCAATGGCACTTGCACTTTCCCAAAATCATACCGAGGCATGTTATGTAGAAAACCCCAGCGTGCTTTCCACACTCCGAATGTACGTTCAATTGCACTCCTTAATGAGGAGTGCACTGTGTTAAAAACTTCGTTCGCGTTGCGTGCTCGTCCAGTCACATGGAACTGTTCTTGGTGATACCGACATCCTTTAAACGGTGCAAGAAAGCCTTTCTGATTCTTGTACCCTGCATCAACAAGGTAATACTTTCCTGTGTTTGTCCAAATAATTTTAATTAGTAAGAAATGTTAATAACAAGACAATAAATCAGTCATGATATTGAACAGTGCCACTTCATTTTACCTTCTACTGGGTGTGGAAATTTTTTCACCGGATCTTCGGTAACTTCGTTAAATACTCTACTGTCATGCATACTACCCTCCCAGCCGCAGGAGATGAACGTAAAACACAAGTCAAAATCGCAAACTGCAAGGATATTTTGCGTGTGTCGTCCTTTACGACCAAAATATGGCGGTGCCTCACGCGGATTCAAATTTGCCTCCACATGCGTCCCATCCAACGCCCCAATACAGTCCTGCATGCTCATATAATGCAAACATGCCATAAGTGACTAGTAAAATTACATTTTGGACATACACAACTATTTTGACACATGGCAAATTAACGAACGTATTACACCTCACCCTGAATGGCAAATATTTTGGTTGCGACTCCAAGTATGGATGTCTACTATTTTGAGGCCTTGTCGGTCGACAGTGGGCTCGTGTAAATTCCTTCATTGCTCTAAGAACACGCTTAAAATGACGCCACACTGTCTCCCCTGAGTGTTGGAAGCGGTTTTCAATATCCCAACTTGGGAAGCCTCGCAACACGTATATAAACATCCCCACACTCTCAACTACATCAATACCATGCGGACGCTGCGGGAGTTCGAGACCAAAATCGGCTACTAATGTGTTACACAATTTTATGAACACATCCCTTGGCATCCTAAAATTACGCTGAAACGCTTCTTCTCGACCTGTAAGCATCTCCTGCATCCATAATCTCCCAGTCAACGCAGATGTGTGAAATGGAGTCCTGTCAACGTATGCGTACTCATTGGCCACGCGTGCAATTTCTAGCCAAATCATTGATGTTGTCATTTCCATCTCCCCGATTGTCTCGCGTATCCACGTATTAATTTGGCCATTGCACACACCACCCGCGCTACTACCCTCTTGCGGATCCATTGATGCTGTATAACAAATTCAACCAAGAACACAAAAAAAAACAAAAAAAAAACAAAAACAAAGAAAAAAAAAAGAGATGATTCAAATGCGTAACGTATGTTACTCTTGCAACCATGCAAGCCTATTGGAATCAAATTTGAATAACAAGAACACACCTTTACTAGGGGACGTCAGCTGAAGTGTGAATATCTGAACTGCTACTGAAATTGCTTACTCTTGTGATGCGCATGTATTGGACACCCCTGTGTACAAATAAATAGGTAGGCTTCCCCAACTACAAATTCATTCCTGTGTGCACGTGAATACCTTGGGCAAGTATTTGTACACCATCACATGGGCAAGTGTATCCCCCTTTAGCAGAAATATCAATTCACATAACTTTTACAAAAAGTATAAGATTCCAATTGCAGTCAGCATGTACAAATAGGTTTCACTTTTTGGATTTATATTAGTTTTTTAATTGAGAACATGTCTTTTTTTTTTTTTTTTTTATGGGAAACCCATAACAACTGGAAAAAATTAAAAAAATAGAAAAAAGCTTATAAATAAAAACATCCCAAGTTCATAAACATAAGTAAATAAGCAAAACAAAATTTTAAAAAAAATAAAAAAATTGTAACTAAAAAAAAATGATCATACTCTACTGTCCATGCATAAGCTCCTAATTTTTGGAATGGTCACACACCTACCATTCAAACGTGTTTAACGTTCAACACTGCATAACAGATGGGTTTTACACACCATAATAGGAAACACAAAAATAAAGAAAATAAATAAACATATCCCAAGTTCACAAATAGAAGTAAATAAGAACAGAGAAAAAAAAAAAAGAAAAAAAAGCACAAAGTAGTTAACATTGCACTTGTTCCTTCCAAGCTTTAATTAAGGTCAAGCACCCCATCCCGCCCAAATAGAGATACACCGCGGGTTCCACTGACAACAGTTGGATGACATATGGCACGCTTCTCTTTTAACCACGCAACAATGCAATCAACGGGGAGGCCCATCATGACGTCGCGGTTGTCCGGTGAATCCATTAGCGAGCATGCAAACGAAAATAACGGACCACCCAGCTCCAATCCTGCAACATTCATAAGCCTCGCAAGACAATCCCCAACAGTGTTCTCGCCCCTTCCTGTCACAACATATTGGGTGACTTTCAGCTCCCTGCTTTGTTTGCTAACAACCTCCACAAGGTTGTCCACGCTGCTGGCCACTGTACTAGGGGCTGCCCTCTTTCGACGCTTTGCGTTGGCTGATCCATCTACAGTGGACTGTGGGGGAGCATCATCAAATAGCGAAGAATCGACCACATTTTCGCCGCCTCTATCAGGCACCGTAATAGGTGGTGTGCCATCACTAAGAGGTGCCATGCCACTGTCAGCGTCTGCATCATTGGCGACCACATCATCATCACGGATTTCAGTTGGGGTCCATGCATGTTTTCCTGTTGCAGAAGCGCCCGAGTACACCATTTCCATAAGCTCCAAGTGCTCCAAGGGCTTTGTCTTGAACTTTGCACATCGTTGGTTCATCTAACAGAGTTAAAAAAAAAATGTCAAGCAACCCAACAACAATTACTTTGTAAACAATAAAATGAAGAAGGCAGCTATTATTTGGAAAAGTAAAGTACGTCATACCGCTTCCATTTTCGCCCACCAATGCTCAGGTGCTGTGAACAAACCCGTGGCCTGGTCATATCCTATTCCTGTGAAGCCTTGACTAGCATCTTGTAACTTTTTCCAGGCAACCCAATCTTTTTTCAGATTGTCATATTTGTTTTTAATTTGTTTGGCCGAATGTCGCATTCCGGTTTTCTCATAGAACTTATTGGCAATATTCTTACACCCAGTGCTAGATAAGGCACATAGTTGTCGGTTACCTTTCTTCATTTCACCAAGGACAAGTTGTAGGTACAGCTTAGTGTTGTCACTATCCCAAGTGCATTTGTGGACAGGTGACTTTTGGCTTGATGTCACACCCTTGCCATGTGTTTTTGAAGAGGTACGGGGTGAAGTACGAGTGGTTGCCATCACACTACGAGTGGGTCATAAGTGTAGTTCACAAGAAAATGAGCATACAGCGCAAGACAATTCATTACATGTATAGAAGTAGCAATACAACAACGAATGCAATCCAATTAGTTAATTTCTTTACAGTACAGCAACGTAGCAGTGGTTGTAGATAACAAAAAATAAGGTTTCTTGAATATGAAAATACATACAGTCATACAAAAGTTCATAATGCATTACATCGACATGTCTAATACAGTGAAAGAGGCATAATATGCAAGTTACACATATAACTACGTCCAACGTCAGGGTGTCCGGTCTTGAAAATAATACAGAAACCCACAAAATGAGCATGACTCACATACGAAACAACAAGGCAATCACTATGACGCTCAACGCACCGACGACTGTCCAAAGCAAACGTAGGCTCTGATCTATGCGATCAACGTCACTACGTAACCCCAGATCGACGTCATTCGGAGGGAGGTCATTAGCAACCCTTTCTCCGCGAAACTCGTCACACCAACCTACCCACGGAACACATTGCTGGCATACATAATTTCAGTAGTTAGAGTCATTTATTTATGACATAACCGTAAATGACAAGTACAGGAGTACATGCATTGAATAGCGGTAATACGCACTGTTGGACTAGGGCAAACATAGTATGCACGACCTGGGTTTTTGTTAGATCTAGAAATCTTTACAAAGCAGTGTCCAAAGCCACATGCACACATCCTTCGTGGCCATGAAGAAGTGGCAGTTGACATCGAGGAAGCCATTTCTGTGGTGTGTAGTGGAATAAGAAATGTTAACATGTCTCCTTATAGTGGTGTGGAACAAGAAATGTCAATGGATGTGTTTCTTAAACCCCAGATGCATGTGTCATCATATGGGTGTCGGAAAAATGTAACCCATGGACAACTTGTGACTTATTACATGTAGAGAACACCTAAAACAGATAATCTGAAAATGAAATTTGTGGCTTTTTTGGCTGTTATACCATTTCCTCAATTCATGTGAAAAATGGAAACATGCAAGCCATCTTTGCACTTCCCATTAGTACTACCACATCCACCATATGACAAAAAATTGAAAGAACTAGTTGGGAGCATAAGGACCAATTTCAACATCAGCTTTTCCCGAAAAAATAAAAAGGGAATGGAGTATAAGATTTTTAAACTATTTGAAGCAATTGTTTTCTAATTGCAGGATGACACATACTCATCTTATGAAGTTCCACTGTTTTCTAATTGCAGGATAACATTTGATCTCTTAAATGGTTTACAGCTTATAAAAATAATGGTTTTAAGGTTTGTGAAGACAAAAACCACACTCTTTGTCAACCAAACTTTTCAAACTTCATCAAATTACTGCAATATCATTTGGCATGGTAGATAAACTGCAATTTTGCTGGAAAAATATCTTCGTGGGGGTTTTCTGACAGCAATAAAGAGAAGTAGAATAACAAGGACAAGGAATGGAAGTGAACAAAAAGCACACTCTTTGTCAACCAAACTTTTCAAACTTCATCAAATTACTGCAATATCATTTGGCATGGTAGCTTCAATAAGAGATGTAACATAAGGAGGAAAATTTGAGGATGTAAGATAACTAACTTAAAATTTTGAAGAAAGAAAAAAAAAACAAACCACCAAGTAACAGATTCATGAGGCCACCTAATCATATAACATCTGGAAAAAAAAAAATTTCCAAGTATTGAAGCTTGTGATCAACCACAAAACAAATAAAAAAACAATAACAAGAACAAAAACACACAGAAGTAAAAGTGTTATGAGGTCAACATAATCAAATATAACTCCAGGCAATCCAAGTAGGTAAGCTTGTGATCAACCACAAAGGCAGGAGATTGGAGAAGAGGACTCATCTCAAAGCTGTTTGGCAGTACAATGCCTATGTATGAACCTTCCTTGTTTATTACATTCATCTTTTTCAGCACATTATGAGAAATTAAAGCATATGATCCATACAGAAAACCCAGTAGAAGAACCAAACATCCCAATGACATTAACCTTATATGAGTATCCATGTCTCTGTCTCTCTCTGGAAATTGAAAAGCTTTGGAGAGCATTCAATGGTGGAGACACAGACAGATTTGTGAATCTAATCAATGTGAAATTAACTAAGAAGAATATAAAATTTGTTTTGCACCATCTATAAAAAAAAAAAAATTAAAAACAAAAATCTTTATTCATCAACTCTGTTTTTCCTGTGGTTGGAGATGCAGTTCAGTGGCTATCAATACCAACAGGCCTTTTTTTTTTTGGGTGTAGTCGATAGATGCAGCCATGTACACAAGCAGAATGAGTCATTGGTTTTGTACAGAACCAGCTATATAAGCAGAATGAGTCATTGTAAGCTTCCCCAACTCATTGTTTTTTGTTGTTCAAAAGCAAAATAAGCAAATCTGAAAGGGGTATCCATAGGTCGCAATTAACAAATTTCTACTAAATTTGTTTCATCGCAAAATAAGGCCAGCAGAAGTAGTAAAAATAAAAATGAAAAATAAATACATAAAAAAATAAAGCACACAGTGGGTAAGAAGATGGCAATCAGACCAGTGTTTACCCAAAAAATCCCAAAAAAACAAAAAGAATAGCAGATGGTAGTCAGAAAGCCAAATAACACTTGTAATGTCATCAACGGAACTGAAAATTAACAGATCTATTTGTAATTTAATAGTTTCTACACTTGTTGCAAATCACGGGTAGCAGATTTGCAGCAGAGGGAAGAGGCTTACATGATTGTGTAGATCAACCGAGGAAGACGACTTTGGTAGAGAGAATTCAGTGGCTATGTCGATGGCCGACGCTAGGAACACGTCTTACGTGGCGTCCACAGCAGCGGTGCAGCGGAGCGAAGACGATCTGAGAAGGGGAGAAGAACAAGAGGCGTGAGATGCAAAATGGTGAAATGTTTTGACGAAACAAACCCTAAAGTGAATGGAGGGTATATTCGTAAATACCCCCTCCTGCGTTTATCCAGCTTCCCAAATAAGTTTGACGAACAAAAAAGCCACGTTTAACGTTTTCATCAGACGCCCAAACACGGCTTTTAACCACGTTGCCAAAACAACCCTTTTTACCAATTTTCCAAATCATTTGTCTAAAAAAGCCAAAAGCTTGGTTAAAAGCCAAAAAGTCACTTTTTACCATCTTCCCAAAATAACTCTTAGCCTTCATGATAGGTTACGTTTGGAAAATTAATCAGCTTGATTGGTTGTGTTTTTTCAAAAACACTTTTTAGAAAATTTTATTTTTTTATTTTTTGTGTTTTTTTGTTTTTATTGAATTTTTTTAATATTTTAAGCAATTTCTTTTACTTTTTAGACATACCTAACATAAATATACCTAAAAAGTAAAAAAATTGTGAAAAAAATCTTTTAAAAATTTACTAAATACCAAAAATATAAAAAAAAATACGAGAATTCAGTATATTTTATGTATTTATTAAATTTTTAAAATATTTTTTCATAAAATTTTTACTTTTTAGATACCTCTAAATAAGGTGCATCTAAAAAAGTAAAAAAAATGTTTAAAATTTAAAAAATATTCACTAAAAACAAAAGAATACGAAAACCAAAAAACTCAGTTTTCAAAAAACTTAATCCAGAAAACTCAAACCAAACACACTGATTACTATTCACAAATAAAAAATATTAAAATAGTATTTTATACATTTTTATAATACAAAAGTTTGAATTACACTATCAAAAGTACTGCCCCAGCAAGAAGGCACGTCATACACTTTTTGGGCAAAAAAAAAAATTACATATGTAAAGCCACAAAGGTTGATAGTAATGTTGGGCCCTTGGGAGCCCACTAAGGGTTTCGTTTTGATAATTCGAACCATTCAATATGTAAAACTTGTTGAGTACTATATGCTTGTAAAAAATCACATTAATCGGATATCGTTAACTATATGATCAACTTAGTTTTGTATAAACAAAACGGATGGTGTGATAATTAACTATTGAAAAAAAACTAATCCGATTATATAGCTATCGATATTCGATCAACGTGATTTTTTATAGGTATATAATACTCAACGATTTGTACATATTGAACGGTTTAGATTATTAAAATAGAATCTATGGTGAGCCCCACGGACCAACCATCATTGTCCAAACACTTTGCCCCGAAAGAGGCAATAATTTGCTGGTAAAGACACGCTGCCCCCAACAGGGCAGCTGTACAACCTACTCAACTTTCTTCCTCTATACACTTTATTTATATAATTTTTTATTACACATTTTTTCGTAAAAAGACAAAAAGTTAACCCAAACATCCATTTTTTTTTTCCTCAACTTTTTAGTCTAAAAAGTAAAAAGTGCACTTATTTAGGACACCCCAAATAACTCCTAATTATATTTTGGAAAATGATTTGTCCCCCGAAATTCTTCCCCCAGAATCCCCCTAATGGCCAAAACGACGTCGTTTTGGCCCTTTTTTTTTTTTTCCTTCTTCCATTTTCGACCTGCAACACAGAAAATGGAGAGGGAGAGAAAGAGAGAAGAAGAGGGGAAGAGAGAAAGAGAGAAGAAGAGGGGAAGAGATCGTCGCCCAGCCTGTCGCCCATGTCCGATCGTCACAGCAGCTCCGCCGTCGCCTCCGGCCCTGCCTCCGCCTCCTCCCACTGTTATGGCCCCCTCCAGTCCACTCCTCCTCCTCCTCCTCCTTCCTCCTCCTCCCTTCTTTTCTCATTCTCTGCTTCTGAAAAAAAAAAA